GGTGATTTCTCGCTTTCTGTCTCTATGTCTCTCTCTGTCTGTCTGGCGAGCGCACGCGCCCTACAGTGAAAATCTCCCCCCCCAAAAAAAAACTTAAAAAAAAAAAAAAAAGCAGGGAGAGGGCTTAGCCCCAGGGCCAGCCTTCTTACTATTTAAGAAGCTTTGGTTTCCTACAGACAAAAGGCCTCAGCAGCCCAGGGTAAAGACAGCATCTCAGAGGGCACCTCGAGCAGAGGTCCTGCTCAAGTGGCCCCCCTCAGGGGAGGAGTCTGAGCCCCACTGGTCAGATGGCAGGCAGAGCACTGGACACGGGGGTACCGTCTCTCTGGGGCCAATGCTGTCCTAGCCCTGCTGCGGGCACAGAGGCAGCACACCCTCAGTGTGCACCAGACTGAGCACTGGTGGGGAATCATTTCTAGGCCGCAACTCCACCTGCGAAAATCAGACTCTGCATGAGCGAGGCCCAGGAATCTGTTTTCAACAAACACCACAAGGAGTTTGCGGGTGCTAGCCTGGGCTGGTCAACTGACTAGTCTGGAGTCCCCTTTTGGCAGTCAGGATGTCAGCTTATGTAACTCCCGACTTCCTCAGACTTGTTCTGGGGACCGCTGCCCACGTCCATGCGCATGGGCAGTGCCGGTCACAGCGCAGCCATGGTTGCTGAGCCCAGGCCCGCCTCTTGCTCTCCCTGGAGACAGTGCTGCCTCTCACCAAAATGGGACAAATGGGAAGTGGAGGCAGGCAGTGGCACAGGGGCCTGGGCAAGGACCACCAGCTCACCCACCAAAGACACCACAAGCCCACCCTCTCCCTGGACCTGCCAGCACATCTGCTAACAGTTCTGGACACCTCTACGGGTGGATTCAGGGACCTGAGCTCAGTTCCAAAGCGGAAATGTCACTTTGACTCCCTGCCCCCACCACCCCCATTCCATGGTGCAAAGCCCAGCTCCACACACAGCAACACATCATCGTGGGACAGGAGAGGAGCTGGAGCCCACGGTGTCACCACACTCTCTCACTTGGGCGAGAAGTGCTCTCTGCACCACCATCCTCTGGGTTGCAAACCACAATAGCCACCCACCCACATGTGCATTCATGTACTCACATAGGAAAGACCTTGAGAGGGAAGTGTTTCTTTAAAAAAGAATCCAACTCTCTCGGGAACCAGCAGTTAGCGTAATGGCTATGTCACTGGACTCCCACGTAGTCGCCCATGGTTTGCATCTCGGACCCGGTGGCTTAAAACTCACGCCGGGTGTGTGTGTGTGCATGCCCAAGATCCCGAGAGGAGAATGGAGGAGAAGGGATTGCAGTGTGACCATCCCCCCTGGGGGGTGATTTCTCGCTTTCTGTCTCTCTGTCTGTCTGGCGAGCGCACGTGCCCTATAGCAAAAACCTCTCCAAAAAAAAAAAAAAAGAATCCAACTCTCTCTGTTCTATGTTGTGTAAATATACCCGCAGACCCAGAAGCATTTGCCCTTGACCTCCCATCCCTTTACTTCCCTGGATTCTGCTCGGGCTCAGGCGAACATAAAAAGGAAATGACCAGGTGGCACTACTTGTCAAATTTCTAGTGTGTCAAGGCTAGTTTGGGCTTTAAATGCAATTTCCCTGCATTCATACACCTTTATCTCTGCCATCCCGACGGCCACACAGGAAGATCTGCCTGACCCTCAGGGATTCACATGGACCTTCTGGCTGGCTTGGGTGTTAAGCAGAGACCAGAGTTCACTGACCAGCACAGGTGCTGATAATTGTGACAAACTCCTGGGTGAGTGTCGCTAGCTGGCAGTGAAATGGGCATGGAGAATTCACAAAGAAAACATTTCTAGGAGACAGAAAAGGCATTTGCTTTTTATTTGGAGCAAATAAACGTACATTAAACCTCAGACTCAGGGAAGCCCTTTGTACTTTATAATGAGCAGCCCAGAGCGTCCCTGCTAGGAGGTCATGGTGGAGGTGCTTCGTAAAGAGTTCGTTAAATTCCCAGGGCACAGGACATCTGCCCTGATATAGGAACCCTGAGACTCATTCTACAGAGTGGGGAGGAGGAGAGAGTGAGGAATGGAATCCAAATAGTTGAACTCTCTATAAAGCAGCTAAAAGTGACCCAAACCTCATCTCTCCTCACTGTGAGCACAGACCCAGAAATTAGGCACACTGGCCTTACTCACCATCTGTTATGAGTGCTCTGCTGGTCAGAACCTTCCCCAGCATAAACTTCAACACAGCCAGGATGCTGCAAAGAATCCCACTTAAAATGGAGACGCTGAACAGGAAATCATCCTAGAAGAGAAAGTTCCAGATTTCATCAGTTTACCTAATGCTGAGCCAGATTATCTGCAAACCATTTGTCTTAAAGATCAGCTTTGGGGGACCAGCAGATGGCACGGTGGTTAAGGCACTGGACGCTCCCATTTGGCCAAACACAGTTCAAGTCCTGGACCTGGTGTCTTGCTTTCTCACTTTCTCTCTCTCTGTCTCTCTCATTAGTCAAATTAAAATAAATGAATGAATAAAATTAAATTTTAAAACATTCTTTAAAAAATTGTTTTAAAAAATCAGCTTTGGGGACCAGGAATTAGCATAATGGCTATGTCGCTTGACTCCCATGTAATCGACTGCAGTTTGCATCCCAGACCCGGTGGCTTAAACTCACGCCGGGCGCGTGTGCGTGCGTGCCCAAGATCCCGAGAGGAGAATGGAGGAGAAGGGATTGCGGTGTGACCATCCCCCCTGGGGGTGATTTCTCGCTTTCTGTCTCTCTGTCTCTCTCTGTCTGTCTGGCAAGCGCATGCACCCTATAGCGAAAACATCAGCTTTGTTCCAAGTACTAATAATCATCGTGCTGTTATGCTGCCACCCACTGGCGGTATGTGGTATGCTTTCATAGTTGAGTTACCTGTGTCACTGGGAACTAGAAAAGATGACCAAAACCAAATAACCCAGACTTACATTTACTGAAAATCAATTATATACAGTAATCCACCCCCATAGCCATGGTTTTGCCTTCTAAGGTTTCAGTTACCCATGTTCAACCACAGTCTGACAATATTAAATGGAAAATTCCTGAAATAAACCATTAACATCTTTTAACAGGCTACCTGCCCATTAGTTACTTAGTAGCTGTGTCAGGTGTCGGACTGGAAAACAGAATAGGGTTCAGTACTGTGCTCTATTTCGGGCATCACTGGGAGGCTTGGGACGTATCCCCCATGAAGAAGGGGAATGGACTACTGCATTCCTTTTCCTGCAGAAGGTTCACCTTCCTCCCCACCATTCTGTTAAAACGAGCAGCAGTCATTGAGCAATGACAGAGTTGTTCGGAATGCTATGAACAGCGTCTTCTAAGCAGGGTTTTCTTTAGGTAATTCACAGAGCAGCTGATTGAGAATTTTAAAATGCACCACTGGCCTAAGAGCCCTTTAACATAGAGCAGGTAAATTTGCCACAAAATCTATTGTGGCAGGAGCTACTTAAAACTATATTTTAGTTTTAAATTCACACCAGACAATTGAGAGTTCAAATATAGCCTTCGAGGTGGGAAAAATGGCATCTAAAAATATAATCTGCTACTGACGTTATCTTGACACTTCCTATTAGCTGCTACCTTACCTTTGCAAGCAAATGAATGACTCATGCAGGCAAAAAGTCACCACTATCCTCTGACATCAGGGCCCAGGGAGCTCTTCCACTCCCATGCGTCACTCCCAGAGACCTAGCCTTGCAGTTCGCTAATATTAAAATGCAACGGGCCAGCAGAAATCTGATACAGCATTGTATGTATGAAAAGAAATGGGATTCTCCTTCAGTGTTTTGTTAATCAAATTCACTAACCTAATGACAGAAACTTGGAAGGGGGAGACAACCTATTTCCTGGGGCTCAAAATTAAACAAAGCATCTGAAAAAATGACCTCACTGGAAACAAGTTATCTGCATAGTCAAAGTAGCTCCTTCAAAATACTGATCAATGGCACTGGTGGTTTTCTCAGCATTTGCCTGTGAATCCTTGCTACTACTTCCTGGAGGCAGAGATTAACCTCCTCACTCCACCCCTGCCCTTAGAGCGAGCTGGACTTGGTGCCTCAAATCTAACACATGGGGTGCGGAAAGCGGGGGTGGGGGGCGGGGGGGAGGATGGGAGCAATGTAACAGTAAAGAGAAGGAGAAGTAGAGGACACCACGGCAGCCGAGCGATCAAGGTCCACATCGCCACTGACGAGTTGTGCTGATAGCGTGTGTCCTGTGATATGATGTGACAAGAAGGGCACTTCACCTTCCTGGCACCCTCCCCCAAATCCACAACCTCAGCTTAATTGTGAAAAACACCAAACAAACCCAAAAGGAAGGACAGTCTACAAGATACCTAAACAGGACTACCTCACAGGTGCCAAGGTCATAAGAGATCAAGAACAACCCAGAAACTGCCACAGACTGGAGACCGAGGTGATGTGACAAGTCAGTGCAACATGGTGTCCTGGACTGGACCCTGGAACAGCGAAGGTGACCAGTGCCAAGACAGGGAAACTGGGATAGAGAAGATAGTTTCGTGAATAGTGTTGGCTGTAATCTCACCACTGTACCGCAGTTATGTGGACACGGTACCACTCGGGCAGGCTGGGTGAAGGGTATATAGGAACTCTCTGTACTATCTTCAAAGCTCTTCTACAAATCTAAACTGATTTCAAATTTATAAGGTTTTTAAAATAATCACCTTACTGCACTGTTCACCTCCTCAAATTATTAATGAATATTGTGCCAAGCTTAGCCTCTTAGCAAATCCCAAGTCCCTGCCATGCACGAGGCCATAAGCAAAGGCTTCCACAACAGGGTGGTGTGTTAAGAACCCCCAAAGTAAAATTATTTCGTGAGGCAACTCAGCCTAATCAAAGGAAATAGCATCCACAGAAAACAATGTGAGCGTGACGCGAGGTCTGAATGCTTGTGCTGCCCCCCCCCCAAATTCATATGCTGAAATCTAATCCTCAACAGGATGGTATTAGGAGGTGGGGCCTTTGGGAGACGACTCCATCACGAGGGCAGAACCCCATGGGGTAGAATTTGTGTCCTAATAAAAGAGTTCCCGGAGAGCTAGCCAGGCCCTTACTCCACGTGAGGACACAGTGGAAGGCCTGGTCATCTGAGAACCAGAAAATGGACCTGCCGGTGCCTTGATCTTGGTCTTCCCTGCCTCCGGAACAAGGAGCAATGTGTTTTCGGTGTTTATACTCTACCAGTTCATGGTAATTTTTATAGCATCATGAAAAGTCTAAGACACATGGTTGAGAGATCACGTACCAGCCTAGACACGGTGGCACAGGCAGTAGGGGTGCTGCTGCAAACCTTGTAGGACGGCCCCAGGTCTGCCTCAACATACTGATGGTGCCTGACTTCCTGGATGGCTGCAAGGTGCAGGGAGGATCACAGAGTAAAGACCCTCTCAAGAGTGCCTGTGTGGGGGGAGGGAGGCAGGGAGGTGGGTGGGGAGTAGGTTACTATGCTCTTACTCAGGGAATAAATAAAATTTAAGGAAAAAAAGAGGGGGAACCACACATCAACATTTCAGATGCAGATGGGACTTAGAAATGACAGGCTGGGAGACAGAGACAGTCAGTTAAGAAAGGCACTGTGAGGGGCCAGCAGTTAGCATAATGGCTATGCTGCTGGACTCCCATGTAGTCGACTGTGGTTCGAGTCCCGGATCCGGTGGCTTAAACTCATGCCGGGCGTGTGTGCGTGCATGCCCAAGATCCCGAGAGGAGAATGGAGAAGGGATTGTGGTGGGGCCATCCCCCCTGGGGGTGGTGATTTCTCGCTTTCTGTCTCTCTGTCTCTCTCTGTCTGTCTGGTGCGCACATGTACCCTATAGCAAAAACCTCTCCAAAAAAAAAAAGAAAGGCACTGTGAGACCCCAAATTCAGATGCTGACTCTTACTTCACCTCCCCCATGCCAAAGGCTTTCGGTAACTATTCCATCTCTGCTTGCAAGGCCCTGCTGGCTCCAGACCCAACACCAGACCCAGAGACAACGCAGCTACTGTCACGTTAAGTTCTCAGCCCTGTAACAAATCCCTTTTCCCTAAGGCTTCTAGTGGGCAGTTTCTCTGCTTGAGCCCTGACAAATGACTCATTGACATTATCTTGATACTTCAAGGATGTTTCAAAGGGTTTAAGCAATGCCAGATGCAGAATTAATACTATTTGCAAGCTGAAATGTTAAAATGTAGAAAAGCCGATATATAAAGATCTATTTCTACCAACCAGCTTTGTTCCCAACCCCAACTCTGAAGGAAAAACTGCCTTCCTCTCTGGGAGAGCAGAGACTATGGCCATCTCAGGCTCACCCAGTGCTGCATGTGTGGCTCACCATTGCTGAGCCGGCCTGCCCTGGGGAAGAACCCACAGAATACCTGGGCTGGCAAGGACCTGCCCAAGCTGCTAGCTCCAAAACTTTCATGTCCTAAAAGCGCTGTGATTTCTCCACCCAGAGCCCAGTTGGCTTTCCTGGATGCAGGCACTCCTTCCTCCTCACCACTGCCTCATGGATTATTAGCATGAGCATGGTGTCACCTAGATGAAGTCATCGGCCTGTTAAAGACATCGGTCCTTGTTAGGTCTGGATGTCTGTGTCCCCCAAAATTCATATTGGGCACCCCACATGGTGTATTTCAAGATAGGATCTTTGGGGAATTATTAGGGTTAAATTAAGTTATGAAGATGGGGCACTCCTAATGAGATTAGTGCCCTTATCAAGAGACAAAGTTCTCTCTCTCTCTCTCTCTCACCACCCACATTCACCAAGAAAAGGCCAAGAGAGGATACGTGAAAAAGTGGCCATCTATAACCCAAGGGAAGGCCCCTCACCAAACTCGGACTCCCTCACCAAACTCGGACTCTGCTAGCATGGACTTCTAGTTTTCAAAACTGTGAAAAATAAATTCCTGTTGCTTAAGCTGCCCAGTCCATAGCATTTTAATGTAGCAATCCAATCTAAGACAACCCCCACATTTAAGAAAAGGAGTTTCTTAATGGAAGCCAGACCACACATGACTAATGATGAGAAATTACAATCCAGGCAGACATACACTTCTGTTGACTTCTATCAAAGCACAGCCGCTCCTGTCATCTCAAAGCTGTGTTGAGCGGGCATCTGAGAGATGTGGGTACAGATGCAGAAAAGCAAATGACTTATCCAGGATCTTTTGGCTAGTGGCAGGACCTGGGCTTTCTCCCAGCTGCAGACTGTCCCAGGATGCCTCATCTATGGCCTTATAGTCATGTCATG